ATCAAAAGAGAATCAATAACACTGAAGCGATTCAAAGATATAAAGTAAGATGAAATCTAAATGCAATACACAGGTTAAAGAAAAGGTGGAATTTGATCGTCACAGGTTCTTCTCTGAGTATCGACATTCGACGGAGTTCTCAAGAAATTCATATGGTTTTAAAATGATAGAATTATGCAGAAATTGAAAGTCACGAACCTATACAAATCAAGCTCTTTGAGCTTTGAACAACCGCTTCCAATATGTTTCAGTCCATCGTTGGTTATGTTCAAGCAAATGCCTACCTTTAAACTTGAAAGATTGGAACATCTTGAGATAGACTTCAAACCTGCACAATAGTAGTATAAATCAATTACTCAACTATTAAATTTGCACAGAGGGCACAAGGGATCAAAGTTGAAACCTTCGTCATCGATTTTGGTATCTGTGACATCTAATTCCTCCAAAAGTTGGCAACGCTGTCCAAACAAGACAAATGCTTCTTTGGGAACCAGGCTACAAGACTCCATTCTGAGGGAAGTAAGAGAAGTGCATGAACTTGTTATGCTTTCCACGGAATCATATGTTATCTTGCGACAGCATGTGATGTCTAACTTCCTCAATTCTTTGTGTGCTTGCACTAAGAAGGATAGACTGTCATCTGTCACTCCTGAGCACTTACTGAAGCTCAATTCCTTGAGTGAGTTAGGCCAACTTCCAATGGCTCTAATGCCAGAACATTCAACCAAACAGCCATCCAACTTAACTGACCGCAGCCACGAAAAGTTACGCAAACATTTTGCCAGATCTGCAGTAACCTGAACCATCATCAAGTATTAATGATCAATTTATATGTATCAGGAATTCCAGGAAATTTTTGTGCTTGAAGATATCAGACTTACAGCAGGGCCATAAGCTAGAGTAAGTTCTCGTAGGTTTTCGGCACCATTTATCAGAGATGACAAACCCACATGACTGACATCCGGACAGTTTGACATGTTAAGTGTCTGCAAAATTAGAGAAATTGTCAATTGAATATGAAACACCCTACGCAAAATGGGCAATGAAATAGGGTAAAGTAAGAATTCAAGTTTATCAGTTGAATAAACGGAAAAGAATTCCAATTATTCATTCAATTCCGGAATTCACAGGTTACGCTCTTACATGAGTTCGAAACAGAATCTACATAAGACAAGGACAAAAAACAACATCAAAGTTTGCATCTCTTCAAACAATGCAGTAATGGAAAAGTACCTTTAGTGACTTGCAACTCTGTTGGAGAGTAGAGAGGCCATCATCATCAATACCAAGGCATCCCTCGAGGACTAAATCTTCAAGATGCTGCAATTGCAAAATAGATGGAAGACATTTCTCTGTAATCTGCATACAAAATCACAGTCACTTTAGAGTCCTCCAAACTGTCTGCATCGCATTTTAGTTACCAATATTCGAAAGAAAACTATTAGAAGGCTGATTAGAACATAGGAAATTAATGAGGCATTAACCCACCATATAACACTGTATAATCAACTAAATGCGGTCAATTCAATAAAAAGCAAAATCAACTGTGAAGTGGAAGGAAGAATTTTACCAAAAGATTCTTAATTTGTAGCTACATTTTCATGGACTTTATATCTTATGCAACTTTTTTGACCAAGTTTTTAGTCAACAATCACTAAACCTCTCTAGATGGAATTATCATGAGGGCATAACCTAATCCTAAGAAAAGTACATAATCAAACCTTAATCTATATTAAACTCCACGAATTACTTGAGTCAACTTTTCAGAATCTAGTACAATAAAGCGAAACCCAAATTCCACTGACTTTGGAATTTGCCCAATAGTGGAATGGATTAGTGCTCTAAACAGAATCAATGCACCTAGGGACAGCAGCAGGGTTCAAATCGTCAAAAAGCCAAACTTAAATTTCAACCTCAAGTGGCAAGAAAGCACATTATTGGCAGAAGTTGAAATCTAAGAAATAGAAAACATTGTGACATCAGATTGGAAATAAAACAATCAAGACTGCATCAATTGCATACCAGAAAAACTTCAAGCATGCCATGTCGTATCAAAAAGTTAAATTGTTCAAGGAATTAAAGCAAACAACAATTCAACAAGAGTTATTGATAGATTTGTGGCTTATATATAAGATTTTCACCCCAAAAATTTTCTTTTCTTGATGTTTCCTAGGAAACAAACAGAGAAGCGAAACTAAAATAGACAGAGAAACATCAAATTACCTGTAGGCAAGAGAGATCCAAGCTCCTGATCCCTTCACATTTCAAAGCAAGCAATTCGACACCAAGATCACTAACCTTCACACACCATTTCAAGCAAACAAACTTCAGCTTTCTACACCCAACAGCAATACAGCCAATCCCCATATCAGTAATCAACTTACACCTAGCCAGCCGCAGCTTCTCCAAATTCTTCGCCTCAGAAATTGCAGCAGCAGCCAAGTCACTCAACTCTACCCCATTGGACAAGTCAATCTCAACCAAATTGAAACAACTTGAAACCAAACTTGCCAACCCAATGTTAGTGAAAAACCTTGATCTTGACAGGTTTATAGAACACAAAACATCCTTACATGACAAAGAAACAACATTCAACATGCTGTCCTCAATGCGAGGACAAAGAGTTAGATCAAGATGTTCAATATGAGGGTATCTATGAAGGGTTCTTGATAAAAGCTCAGCTCTAAGTGGCTTAAGAGTCTTCCTATGCTGAGATTCAATGGAGTAAAAAGCTTTGCAGGTTAAAGAAAAGGACTTTTTAGCAAAAGGGTCATTTTCAAGATAATCAAGGATCGTAAAGATGACTTCTTCAGTGAGAAAATCAAAGGGGTTGCTAATGGGTGCTTCCATAGTGGTTTTCTTGTTGGTTTTCATGGATTTTAGAGAAGAAAAAATGGGTGGAAAAGGGTTTGAAAGATCTTGAAATTAAGGAATGGTTTTCTTTTTTGCCGTGTTTTTTTCTTTTTTTTTTTGTGGAGTTTAAGGAAAGATTATCTGAGGGGTAACGGTTAACAGAAAACATCGGTTCAGCTGGGGCAGTATTTGCTGTACTTGGGGAAGAAGACTTGTGAAGGTGAAATGACTATATTAGGTTGTGGTGTCATTTAATTATTTTTTATTTTGGTTTTCATGTGATTACATTAATTCTTTTCTTCTTGAATGCCTATTCACCCTTGTCCCTTTGTTCAAAATTTTCAAGTGGGTTCGTGGGTAGGGTTTATGATTTCAGAGATCTTTCTAAATGAAAATTTAGTTTTTATTGACCTACAAATTGATTTTAAGATATTTTTAATCATTGAATAAAAATATTTTAAAAGTAGGTTATTCATTTATATCTATTTTTTTAAAATAACTTAACTTATTATTAATTACTACAATTTTAATCCTTTCCTACTCTTTATGTTATTTTAACTATTAATGTTAGTTAAATTATTAAATTTGAACAAAATAAATGAATAACCATAAAATTTAAATTTATTTTAGTACCGCAGCAACCCTAATCTCAATAGTTTATAATCACCAAAGAAAAAAAAATCTCATGATTACTTTTGTCATTATCATAACTATCTTGACAAGTGAAAAATAATTTTGATTAAGGTATAAGCAAGTTGGAAAGTATTTTTATTATTTAATAAAAAATAAAAAGGGTAAAATAGGAAATGAAAAAATATGGTTTGTTGGGAATCATTTGCTTACCTAATTATGGAAGTGATGGAATAGAAAAGAGGAGTTATTTGGGGAAGTTTGCATTTGAGGAAGGCAAAGGACAATTTCAAGCACCTCACATGGTACGGTATTTTTTTAGGCCCAAAAAAATAATATAATATCTGTCCACGTCATCCTTAAGTGTACCTAATGTTGTACTCACGTTCATCATCTCTACGCGCCCTTGTAGAGCGTGAAATGACTCTCCCAATCATTCGTCAAGGTTTCGCTCTAAATAGTACACGCAATAATTGAAAATGTAATCGTATTATTTTAGAGTAGTAAATTATAAGTTAGTCCCTATATTCTTAAAATAATAATTGAATAGTCTCTCTTGTTTTAAAAATTAATAAATTAGCCCTTTGACTAGTGATCACAATGATTAATTTTGTATACATATTTTTTCTATTAATTTTTTTTTCTCATTAATTTTTCCTTATATTTTTACTTTTTTTTTCCTTCTATTCTCGGAGTCATCACTGCCTGTGAAGTTTACGAGGCCAATAAATTAGAGAAAGAAAGCAGCGATAGAACATGCCTAGGCAAAATGTTTGGATGAGGTAAAAAAATGGATTTTCTATTCCATCTTCAAGGTTTATAAATATGGAGGAAAAAGCCCTAAAGGGAACTGGGAGGTAGAGAAAAGCATTTGATTTTTTTATATTTTGGTTTGGTTTTAAGTTAATTAAACTAACCAAAAACATAATCCAAATCAAACCGAATTTGTTTTTGGTTTCTCGGTTCATAAAACCAAAATTTCGATTTCGGTTTTAGTTTTGATTTTGACTTTTCTCCGAAAAACCAACATTAAGAAACTCTAAAGAACAGGAGGCAATTCATGCGATTAATCCTTACCAAATATGGCATAAACAATGAAAAGGGCAGACGAAAACATACCAGAAAGTTGCTCTAACCACTTGGCAACATCACACCATATATGGTATAAACAATGAGCAGTGCAATATCACCAGAATATGCCATAATAAATAATGGATTTTTCAATGTAGAAAATCCATGGCAGTTGAGCAGGTGGTGCGACGGCCAAACTAGCCAGCAACGAACTGCTAAATAGACTATAGAACAGGAAACTAGTTTGGAAAAGGATATTCAAGATCTTCTCATTGCATTACTTCAAATTGTGAAATTGAACATCAAACAAATTGGAAGTGAATTCTACAATTAGGTTTCAAAAATCTACATGGCTACAGTATTCATTAAACTCTTTAATCATCGTTTCCACGAGTAACATTTCAGGCAACAAGTGAAAGAGGAACTTGCTTTAGAACAAGGGTAGGTCACTTCTTGGCGTAAGTAATAGCCATAGGGTTCTGAGGAGTAATTTTGAAACCTTGAAGGGCCTGCATGGCCATGGAGGATTGCACATCATCTTCAAATTCCACAAATGCAATACCTGGCTTTGCCTCAATCATTCGAACTTCCCTAAATCCTGGGTATTGCTGGAAGAGCACTTGCAACATCATGCTAGTGGTTTCATAGGGCAAATTTTGGATAAACAATATATTATTTGGTGGAGCTGTTTCTTGTGCACCCTGGTTTCCTTGGCGGAAAGAAGTCTACACATCACAGGCACAGAAAGGATATAATAAGCAAGCATTGATCGAATAAAATATGGGAATTCACGTACTCTGGTTTTCCAAAAGAAGTATTTGAGGTGCTCAATGAAATACACACAAAAGGTTTAAGTTGGGTATGTGATGTATTAATCCCAGCAATGAGATCAATACATCAACCGGACACTGAACGATTCAAACAATTATCATGCAATCATCCTCAATATTTTTCCTTGTCATGCAAATGAAACACATGAATACTGCCTATGTGACCAAAACTTATTTGCCCAACTCTGAAGAACATTAACATGTATGCAAGTGTGCAAGTTACTTTAGAGGGGAGAAGCGTAAAATGTGACTTACTGGGCCCCCATTAGTTTCAGCAGGTTTACCATTAGCTGGAGCTGCTTGCTGGGCCTCTTCAGCACGTTTCTTTCTCTCAGCTGAAGAGGAAAAACATGTCAAATTATTTGTGGATAAGAGAACAGCGGGAGCATCAATGAAAATTAAGATGTTTTTCCCTCTTTACAGTAAGTCAAAACAGAATGTTAATCTTGTGTCGGAATGTAAATCCCATCTCAATAAGACATGGAATGCCCAAAAATTGCTCTAATTTTTCCTTTCCTAGTTGCCATAGTTATTAGAAGACAATACGTTAAATATCCAGAACTTTTTGCAGACCAACTTTTTTCTCATCTGATTTTAGTCCATCTAAACTATAAACCTAGAAGTCAAAATCACCTAATTTGCACACAGGCATCAACTGAAAATGTAAATCAGGGTATCAACATCAAATTCATAGGAGCAGCACTTGCTTCTAGTCTGGTATTTGGTTTAAGTTTTACGATAATAGAATCTTGCACAAGATTATAGCTGAACCATGTATATTTCCTTAGGTAAGTCATATACTGGAATCAGGAACTAGATAACTGTATCAACCATTAAATAGTGCAGTTCCTTCAAACACAGGGGAGCTTCTGTCACAAAGCATTTGCTTGAAGAATGGTTCCTCAAATCTTTATGAGCATTAAAAGAAGAAGGCCAACTGGATATTGATATTACTTCTTCTATTCAGTACTGCACTCACAAAGGAGAATTCAACCATATTTCTCCGTTCTAATTTTCCAATGCAAAGCTTTTTATCGGACTCATTCTAATGAGTTCAATTTGGATGCTCAAATTTTTAAGCATGACATGAACATACCAGTTTAATAAAGCTCAATTAAGCAGAAATTGCTAATTCATTGTACTTACCCTTTTCTTCTTGCTTCTTCTTCTTCTTTGCATTTGGATCATAGACTCCTTCTGCTTCTGCAATGCAATCAGACTTTGTTTTTGCGTATTGGATACGCTGCATCACATCAATGAGATACATTACCACATTAAAAATTTACAAAGCACGAAAATTGAATGCAGAAATAGAAATTTGCCTATGATTTTAAATAAAGGCATCATTCAATATTTTTGACCAAATTCTAGTAAATTAAGGACATACATAATTCTCCCTTCTTTGTTATACTAACATAAATTACCTCACACAACTATGACCATTTTATCACGTGATAACACAATATAATCCCATGAATGACATAATTTCCCTTCTTCTTCTTGTTTTTATTACGTAGTGAACTATTATTTTAATATTCACAATGGTTCCATTATTAACCACAAAAATCTTATGGCTTCTTGTACAACTCAATCTCAACCAGAATCAACCATTTTCCAACCATAGTTTTAGAAGACACAGCTAGTGCAAAAATATCATTCCACTGTTATGCTTGTCCATGACAAGCAAACAAATGCTCAATGATGAAACCAAAAGAAAAACTGAACAGGGCAAAGCACAAAGGTTATAGTTGACGGCCACAGAATCGAATCCAAACCTAGTTGATACTCTATCAATAGAATAGACAAATTGATAACCCATCAAAATTGTGGCTTAAAAAACTGGAAGATAATAAAACTAAAAATTCTTTGCAGTACACAAACTTTAAAAAGGCATCGAACAACATACCATAGCTGATGCATTAACTAATACAAATAATCAAAGACTTATTGACCAAGCATCTCAAGACGTACCATAGGTTTATCATAAAACGGAAAACCCTGCATCTGCCGGACAGCATTACTCGCAGCCGTAACTTCGCTAAACACAACCCATGCTTGGCCTCGAAGCTTTTCCGTCTTCAAAGCAACAACATCCAAAATCCTCCCATATTGAGAGAATAAACAATAAAGTGATCTCTTCAACTCTACCCAAATGGAAAAAAAAAACCCATAAAAAACTTACACAATTAAGCTAAAATACATCAATATCACTACAAATAAAAACATTTCAACTTCTCATTGACCAATAAATTCCTTTAACAACTTATTTAAGCTACTTTTACATTAAAATTCTAAACTTGACCTCACTACTAGTAACCTCAAGAAGAAATCTACTTGAAAAATCAATTATAACTGCTTTTATCTTAAATGGGTCGAGTTCTATATCGCTTGATAAGCAAAATCAATAGTACAGTTGAGATTTCCTTTTAGGGTTTTAGTTGCTCAAACTTTGCTTGTTTTTTTGGTAAGAAAAACAGGAAGAACCTTAAATCAATCAAAGCAACAAAATACCTTCTTTTTTGACCTTCTCGTTGAGGTTCTTAATATAAATTGTTTGGTTCGGCGGTATGTCTCCTGTTAGCATCTTCGCTGAAAACCCAAGATAGAATCTGAGACTGAGACAGAGATTGTGTGTTTTTAGAGAGAGAGGAGAGGGAAAGGGAAGGGGAGGGAGGGTCTGTTTTAGAACAGACTGAGCCCTAGCTATATATTTGGGCTTTTCAGATTGGTTATTATTATTTGGGCCGAAATAAAATTTGATTTGGGCTTCTTCCTTCTTGTATGGGCTAAAATTTGAAAACTTTACACTGGGCTAGTAAATTATAAATTAATCCCTCTACTTTTGAGAAAGGAATTAGTTAGTGTTTTATGTTTCAAAACTAATTCTTTAGTTCTTTTATTGATTTTATGTTCTTTTCTAATTTTTTATTTAAAAAATAAAAAATAATATTATGAAAATATTGAGGTATTTTCCTTTCAAAAGGTAGAGGGATGAATGGATCTTTAGGTATTTTCCATCCTTAAATCAATAAATCTTTAGGTGTTGTTTGATAAAACTGAAAATTAAGTGCTTGAATCTATTAAGTACTGAATTTTAAGTGCTGAATCTGTTAAGTACTGAATATGTTCCCGACAAGCTGTTTGGTATTTACCGAAAATTAAGTATCGAATATAATAAGCCTCGTTTGAAGATGATAGAATATATATGAATTTTTTAATATTTTAGTTTGAACATATTTATCCGATTATATTACTTTTATTGTTTAAAATTTATTTTTTTCAATTATTTTTTTCTTAATAAAATTCTCGTCAAATTAATTTTTGATATAATTTTACTTGTTAATAAATTTAATTTTTTAATATATGAATTTTGGAATAAAATTTTATAACGTCGATGTTTTATTTTTTAAAAATATATTATTATAAATTATATAATGAATTATTTTTATGCTTTTCAAATGAGTATTTTATTTTTCAAAATATATTATTATAATTTATAAATTTTGATATATATATATATATATATATATATATATATATATATATATATATATATATATATATATATATATATATATATATATAGAGAGAGAGAGAGAGAGAGAGAGAGAGAGAGAGAGAGAGAGAGTATGTTTTAGATAGTTTGACTTAATCGGATAAGTTAAAAATTTTAATTTATCCGATTAAGTAGATTTTAACTCGAACTTAAAGTTTTAATATCGGATCATTTAAGTTATCAAATAAGATTTTTATATTAAGTAGTACAACTTAATTTTTTAAACTACTTAATTAGATTTTCTAGTCTTTCTTAAGGATTGAATCTTGTACTTCCAACCTTTCTTAAGGATAGAATCTAGGACTTCCAAGTAAAAATTCCAAGGTTGTTAACTTAGCAATTAACATCCTAACAAATTTTACTTTTTCATATTTACAAATAGAGGATATCCGATATAGTTTTTAAAGCGATCAAGATTAGATTTACCACTCTCACAAATTAAATTAGTGATAAAACACGTTTAACTTATGATCGACCACTAGATGATCGATCATCATACTTGTCTTTTAGATTAAACCAGTCCATTGAAAAAACAATTATAGATTTATACTCAATGGAAAGGTAGCATAATGTCCAACGTTTTTGGGCTAAACAAGTTGCCTAGTGCCTACACTTCATAAAATTATCAAAAAAACAAACAATTATATGAATTTGTCTCATGGATACCAAATAAAGCACATCACTCCTACAATAACCTATCAGTGAAAAACCCAACAAGCACTCAGCTCTAGAGTTTTGATGCTTCAGTGTTTATTGGCATTCTTGCACTGTGCGGGCTGCCACTCACGCAGACATGCCCTGGAGATGAACCTCAAGGTCCACCAACTAATGCTGAAGACCCAGAAGATGGAGGAATGCTGATGGCTTCAGGAAATGGTTTTACATGACTATGGAAGCTAGATTCGGTGCATGCTTTAAGCCTTTTTGGAGAAGTGCCTATTTCCATTTCTTGGAAGAATCATGGGACTGATTCTGTGTGACAATAACTGTGTTTAAGGCTGATCTACCCCGAATATGTAAGAGCTAGAAATCTAGCTTTTTTCCTTTCTAGTTGGATTCTACAGAAACAATTTCAGTTTCAAGAATGAAAATTTCATTTTGTTTGCTGTTAACCAAGGAGAATCAGCTACATCTTTCTGTGTGTCCTCTGTTTCAGAACAGAGATGGAGTCCTTGCTAAATTTGGGCTCAAGCAACATTGTTAGTGGGGCATGTGCGAAAGTAGTAAAACTGGTCGTCATTTTCTAGTCATCACCCTGATGTGCTTCTGATACAAAATTTAAATATTGAAAAAGCATCCAGAAACAAAATTCTTGAATTTTACTATGTTTTTGGCTCGATTTCTTTGCTGTGTAGCGAACATGTTGCATGCAGGCCTAAGACGTTAGACAGCATTGAGAGACAGAAAAATACATTTTTTTTTCCTTTTTCTTGTCTAGATAGACAAAGACGTGTCCACAAGGGAGAAAAGGCAGAAAAGAAGTTACATCAGGCCATAGACGGCTTCCCGGAATTATCTTTTCTTCGTTCTCCGGAATTCCTCATTGCCTTGTATTGAAAAAACACAACATACTGAGATTATTACCTAAATTGATTCAGATCATGATGATAATGGTCCACCAAATGTGTTTGAAGCTTCTTTATAATGTGTTCTTTGTGCTTCTTATATTGCACAAGGAGCCTGGTGCGCCTGGATTCATTAAAGGTGTTGGCGGGGTAAGAATCAAGTGCACAGAGAGGGAGGGACGAGCGGTCCTCCAATTCAAACAAGAAGTTATAGATGAGGATGGTGTTCTTTCTTCTTGGGGGAGTAGTGATTGTTGCCTGTGCAGAGGAGTTGGTTGCGGCAACTGGACTGGCCATGTTACTGTTCTTGATCTTCATGTTGGAGAAGATGATCACGCCCATCTGAGATGTAACATAAGCAGTTCATTACTTGAGTTGCAGCATTTGCATTATTTGGAACTTAGCAATAATTACTTCCAAGACAGTCTCCCAAATTTCATTGGATCCCTAAGAAAAAATCTTTCCAGAAATGGATTTTTTGGAACTCTTTCGTATCAGCTTGGGAACCTCTCAAAATTGCAAACACTTGATCTTAGCTCTAATGTTTATTTCGAAAGCCTTCTTTGGTTATCCCATTTTCCTTCTTTAGAACATCTGGACCTTGGTGGGAGTATGCTTATAAATGCTAGTGACTGGTTTCAAGGCCTAAACAATCTGCCTCTCCTAAAATCCTTGTACTTAAGGGGGTGCGGTCTTCCGGTTATAGTTCCTCGGTCGTTTTCATTTACCAGTAGTTCTAAATATCTTGCCCAGTCCTTGATCTTTCTGATAATAATCTTTGTTCCTCAATATACCCTTGGTTACATAATTTCAATCATAGCCTTGTTGATCTTGACCTTTCCGGGTGCAATTTAGTGGTTCATTGCCTGATATTACAAGATTCTCTTCCTTGAAAGAACTGGACCTCTCTTATAACCAACTGAATGGCTCTTTACCAGAAAGCTTTAAATGGCATTCTAAACTCGTTTTTCTGAGTTTAGAAGGGAACAAATTGACAGGATCAATACCTGATTTGACAATGTTGCCATCTTTAAAGGAATTCAGGATTGGAAACAATAATTTAGATGGGAATGTTTCTGAAAGTATTGGAAGCTTATCTGACCTTCAGCATCTGGATTTATCTCAAAATTGTTTGCAAGGGGTGATGGATGAAGCTCATTTTTCAAATCTCTCAAAGCTAAGATATTTGGATTTGTCTTACAACTCTCTGTCTTTGGAATTTCAAATCGACTGGTTTCCACCTGTCCACTTGGAAATCTTACTTCTCAATTCCTGCAACTTAGGGCCTCATTTCCCTCAATGGCTTCAGACTCAAACTAATGTTTCTTTCCTAGATATTATCTAGCTCTAGGGCTAGCATTTCAGATACCACACCAAACTGGTTTTGGGATTTATCTCCAAATGTTGTTTTCTTAAACATTTCTCACAATCAGATGCGTGGAATGTTGCCAAATTTTTCATCAGAGCATACTGCTTCCATTGCATTTGATTTAAGTTCGAATAATTTTGAGGATCCTTTACCACTTTTTCATTCTAAACTGGCAGCCTTAGATCTATCCAATAATAAGCTCTCTGGATCCATTTCTTCTATATGTGAGATTCCTGGTAGCCTTTTGAGCTTCTTCGACCTCTCAAATAACCATTTATCCGGGGGCTTCCTAATTGTTTCCTGAACTTGCAATATGTAGTTCTGAATTTGGGCAACAACAATTTGTCAGGTGAAATTCCAAGCTCAATAGGATCATTATCAACACTTCAAACTTTGAGTTTACATAACAACAACTTTTTGAGAGAATTTCCAGCTTCTTTAAAGAAATGCAGCTCGTTGATGTTTCTTTACTTGAGTGAGAATAGATTATCCGGAGAAATACCAGCTTGGATAGGCGAAAGCCTGCCACAGTTGATGTTCCTTTCCCTACGGTCCAATAAATTATCTGGTAGCATAACACTTCATCTATGTCAGCTAACACAAATTCAAATCTTGGACCTCTCTCAAAATAATATATCTGGACGTATACCTAGGTGTCTCCAGAATTGGATTTCCATGGTTGAGAAAGTGGAAAATGCCATTGTAACCAGTTATTTGGGCCCAGTGCTGCCCAGTACTGGAGTTGGTTTTGGATTCTGCTACATCAATAAGGCCTATGTTGAATGGAAAGGAAGTAAGTATGAGTATGGAAAGAATCTTGCACTGTTGAGGCTTATTGATTTTTCAGGAAACAAATTAACAGGAGACATTCCTGAAGAGAGAACAGTTCTTTTTCAATTGATGGCATTGAACTTATCGAGAAACAACTTGATTCGGGTAATCCCTCAAAAAATTGGTCAACTTAAACAATTGGAATCGCTAGATTTGTCAAGAAATCAGTTATCAGGTTCAATTCCTATGTCCATGGCTGATCTTAATTTTCTGAGTTACTTGGATCTCTCCTACAATATCCTGTCAGGAAAAATCCCATTAGGCACTTAGCTTCAGAGTTTTGATGCTTCATCGTTTGTTGGTAATCTTGCATTGTGCGGCCTGCCTCTCACACAGACATGCCCTGGAGATGGATCCCAAGAACCACTAACCAATGCTGAAAGCCAAGAGATTGGAGAAAATGCTGATGACTTCAAGAAATATTTTTACGTTGGTTTGGGAGTCGGATTCGGTGCATGCTTTTGGGGAGTTTTAGGTGCTTTGCTGCTCAAGCCTTCTTAGAGAAGTTCCTATTTCCGTTTCCTGGAGAAATCACGGAACTGTCTCTTTGTGACATTAGCAGTGTTTAAGGCCGAACTACAACAAAAATGTAAGAACTAGACAGTTAGCTTTTTTTTTTTTAATCATATTCGCCATCAACCAAAGAGAATCAGCAGCTTTCTGTGTGCCTTCTGTTTCAGAAAAGACATTTGGGAGGAGATGGTGTCAAGAAACGATGAATAACCAAGTAGGACAAGCTTCCAATCACAGAAACTAATATAGGAGCACAATTACGGATTCAAGCAATAAGATAGTCCTCTGTCTTTTTATGGGTCCTCCTGCTTTGTACCAGTAAGCATTTGCGTGACTGAAAATTAGAATAGCGCACACACTTATTTATCAAAGCCAATAATTCTTCCATAAGGAGACGAGAGGATCGATGGTGACACAATCCCTAGTCCAAGGACGATCATAAGCACCATCAGACAATCCAAGGACGCTCCTCTTCAAAAAATCATGTCAAACACAACGTCAAAATTATCAAAAGCCTAGTACATTGGTGTTACTGAATCAAAGGTGATCAGCGCCTGAGAAGCGCCCAAAAATGGAAATCCAACAAAATCAATATCATAATAAGCCTCCAAGTCGTGTTCTAGAGAGCCATAATCCTCACCTTCTGAAACTACACACGCCAAGCTTTTTTTCAACCATTCAATATCCTCTCCTTTCTTATCATGTGTAATACATGGCTTTTCTTTCTTATCCTTTTCTTTCTTAGATGCAATTTCCTATGGAGCTATAGGACTCACAACCTCTGCATAAGACCTGTCATCACGCAACTTGAGAGGCTTTTGGGCTGCCTTTCTCTGTTATTGTGCAATCCTTTCCTTTGGACGATTCAAATTTAATTCGAATTGATGTTTCTTAGAATAAATCGTTAGGAGGATTAGATTATGGGACAGGGAGTGATGATTGTGAGCTTTCTAATGGGCTATTAAAAAGCTTGGATACTCAGTATGGACCTCAAATTCAGATAGCATCAGCTGATGATGGACAGGGCCGAACATTGAGGCCTTTATTGGATCAAGAAGGTCAGGATTTATCAGAGAATGATACTGAAAGAAATCAGGCAGTCTCCTCTTCTTATAATCTACGACACCCCATGATTACTAGAAGAAGGAAACACAGTTAAGGTCATTAACAGTAGAGGATGATTAGTTAACAAAGACGGCGAGGGTAGTGAAGTGTCTACGGATGATTGCATTACACAAGCAAATGGGAGAATTTTGAGGAAAGATTTGGCCCACCCATGTTTTCAACCATGTACAAAGCTTGAAGAGACCGTGGCAGTTGGTAAGGCTTTGGGAGTTCATGATAGGATTAGGGATGATATTGTCTGCGATCACATCCGGGAGCAAATTAGCAGGGACGAAAAGGAGTGGCTAGGCTCTTCTTCTTGAGCTGTTAGTGTTCTTGGTCTTTAACAGACAAGTTTTTTAAGATAATTTTTTTGTTAATGAATGTCGTTTCATGAAATTGTAGAGGTTTAGGAAGTATGTGGAGTATAGTAACCTCTGGACAACCTTTTTAGGTTGCTATGTTGCTTCAAACTTGTAGTGTGTTGTGCTTTTTGTGCATGCTCATTGTGATGCGGCTAATACGATTCAGTTATGGGAGGAGTTATCTTTGTTGTATTTTGCTTTTGATTGGCCTTGGCTTTTGATTCAAACTTCTAGTATGTTGTAGTTTTTCTCGCCTTTTCTCTGATGATCCTTGGGAGAGGCCAGTCAATGGAAGCAGCGGTTTCAAGAAAATCAGTTTGGAATCAGCTGTTTTTCTTGGAAACATGGTTAGTATGGAAGAGGTTATGGAAGCAATTTGGAGTTGTGGTGGCTTGAAGGCTTCAGGTCCTGATGGATATAATTTTAACTTTTATAAAAAAGCTTGGCATTTGGTGTTCAAGGTTTTATCTTTATAAATGACTTCCAAAAGGCGTCAGACTCTGCTCTTTGGGAGTTTCTGGTTCAAATTATGGCTTCTATGGGATTTGGAAAGCACTGGTGCAATTGGTTTCAGCAGTGCTTATCAACTTCCAGAATTGCTGTCCTGGTAAAGATATCGTCAGGGGGATCCTCTCCTTTCCTTTTCAATATTATGGTGGAAAGCCTCTCTGTATTGCTTCATAGAGCTACTTCTCATGGGATTTTTAATCTATTCGTTTGGGTGGAGATTTGACTATCAATCATTTGCAATATACAGATGATACCATCATTTTTGTCCAGCTGATTCAGGGGCTTTGATGAGTATTAAGAGGGTGGTCTTAAGATGGTTTGAACTTGGCCGGGGTCATAAGTTCAACTTCTACAAAAGCTCGCTGGTCAGAGTTAACGTTTCAGAAGAGTTCTGCTCTAAAATGGCTAACGTTCTCAGATGCAAGACTAAAACTTTGCCAATTAAGTATCTTGGCTTGCCTTTAAGAGCAATTCCTACTCGAGTCAGCACCTGGAAACCTCTGATTGCTATTATGGAAAGGGCAGTTATTGTCTAAAGGAGGAGTTATTTTCGTACTTTCCAACATTCCGATCTACTATCTCTCTCTGTACAAGATTCCAAAAAACGTTGCCAATAATATTAATCTCTATTCAAAGGAGATTCTTTTGAAGTGGAGATTCTGATACAACAAAAATTGGCAGGGTATTTGGCTGCTAGTTTCTAGCTCAAAGAAGGGTGGCATGGGTTCTGGTTCTATGATTGGATGGAACAAGGCTTTTCTCTTGAAGTGGATTTGAAGGCTCAGTGGTTTTGTTTTTGTACTTTGTTCTTTAGAGCCATCATCTTATTGGCTTCTTTCATCAATAATATTTGATTTTCATTAAAAGAAAAGAAAAGAAACAGTGACATACTAATTCCGCATATAACATATACAAGTTATTTTGCAAATTCTCAGCCTGTCACAGTTGTGTGAGACAACATATCTTCCAATGTTATTGTTGAGAACGGCTTTGGCAACGGAGGCCATCTAGCTATGAGCTCTGAAGCGACTTTTCGCATGGTTGGCCTAAATTGGGGGTCAGCAAGCAAGCATGCACAGGCTATTTTGGTAATGTAGACCAAACCACTTGCAACTCGATTTCTGGGAAGTGGGATCCGTTGGTCTATCACATCCTTAAACAATGCCTGCTGGTGGATTTGTGAAGATGAAGATGACGAAAATGTAGATGATGAAATAGATGAAATGAGGTCACCTGGATGCCTTCCCATTATTACTTCCATTGTTACTACTCCGAAGCTGAAGACATCACATTCTTCATTCACTTTCATTGTGTATGCCAGTTCTGCAAAAAGTCACTAATTATGTACACTATAAAATTCATTAATATGCAAGTTGTGAAATTCACAACTTTCAGCTAGAGTGATATTGACCATAGTTTCTACCGAAATTTCCTTAAGAGTAATCTGTAGCATGCATGTAACATGTTAATATGTTCTCTAAGAAACCAGGAGATGGACTAGTGCAACTCTCAAGTAAATTTCTTCCTCTCATCAATATCTTACACATCAAAATTAAATTACACCCAAACAGACTAATATGATTCACTTAATCGATTGATTTTGACTAAGTGCAATCATGCAGATTGTGAACAGAAAAGATTATAAGTTGGATTTAATACCTGAAAAAAATGAGGTAATGTATAAGCAAAAACTATAGATTGATGCATATGTTTGTGTCAGGAAAGAATTCGAGAAATGCACCTGGAGCCGTGTATCCCAAGGTGCCAGCAAGCGAAGTCCAGTTGCTTGAGTTTGGCATCAAGAACCTTGCTGTGCCAAAGTCAGAAACATGGGCCTCATATTCTTCATCCAAAAGAATATTATTGTTGGAAATGTCTCGATGAACGATCGGAGGAGAGCAATCATGATGCAGATAGGATAATGCACTGGCCACCCCTTTAATGACATTAAGCCTTTTGATCCAGTCTAACTCCATTGCTCGCTCTTCATTAGTTAAAATCATCCTCAAACTTCCCCTTTCTATGAACTCATAAACTAGAAAGGAGTCTTTTGCATGAGAACAAAAACCATATAACTTCACAATATTTCGATGTCGGATGTCAATCAACACACTAACCTCGCTTCTAAAAGCTTTCAAATCAATGAACTCGTCCTCTTGTGACTGGCGAAGTTTTTTCACAGCAACCACTTGACCTGTTGGCAACACTGCTTTGTAAACAATTCCGTAGCCTCCTTCCCCTATATAGTAGTTAGAGTTGAAATTTTCAGTGGCCTGAATGATGTTCTCGTAAACAATCTTCCCATCATAACTCCATATTGCAAACATGTCTTGACATTGTCCATCCACTAATTGTGTAATTGTTTCTCTACCTCTTTGGTGAAGAAAGTGAAAGCCTCCAACTATAATTAACAATAGAAACGAACTGCCCAACAAGAGTGGTACAATCAAAATGATAAGTCTGTTTCCCTTTCGCCCAACATTGCAAGGCTTTAGGCCACTGGCATTGCCACATAGACTCGTATTATTCATATAGGCCTCAAATGGAGCTTTTTGAAAGGCTTTGATGCTTGGAATTGGACCCTCTAGCTCATTGTAGGATATGTCCACAGTTGTCAAGCTTTCCATATCTTCAAAAGTTGGAATGAAACCAGAAAGCATGTTGTGAGAGAGATTTAGCATTTCCAGCTTTTTCAGTTGACCAAGTTGCCACGGTATCTCTCTTGCAAGGAGATTCCAACTGAGATCAAATTCTTGAAGAGAATGTAGGAGGCCTATCTCAAGTGGAATGCTTTTTATGAATTTGTTATGACTTAAGTTCAACTGCAACAAATTGGAGCACCTTCCAATTTGTTTTGGAATTGATCGACTAAGATTATTTCTAGCTAAATTAAGGAATTGGAGTTCTGATAGCATCTCAATTTCAGGGGGAATGACACTTGAAAGATGGTTGTTGTTAAGACTAAGGTTGTACAACAACTTCAACTTGCCCAATTCTTTAGGAATCATACCCTCGAGTTGATTTGAGGATAGGTCAATCAACTGTAGCTGCCTAGCCAATCCAAGCTCTGATGGTATCTCACCAGATATATTGTTGTTAGAGATTTTTAGACTCACCATGTTGTAGCACTGCCCCCATTTCGGTGAAAGATCACCATACAAATTATTGTGACTCATATCGATATAGTTCATGTAGGGATGGATGCCAAAATCTTCAGTAATATTTCCTGTAAGTTGGTTCCATTCAAACCGAACTCTAAATAAACCAGTGCAGTTTCGCAAACTTTTTGGGATTGGGCCTGAGAAATGGTTGTAGCTTGCTGTAAAGTTTACAAGTAATCCTCCAAGACACAAATCTTGAGGCAAATTGCCAGTGAATTTGTTGTTTGAGAAATTCACCCCCGTAAAATATGTGAGATTATTCATACTTTGGGGTAAGGGACCAAAGAGTTGGTTATATTGAAATGTAAGATATGACAAGTTGCTCAAGTTTCCAATAGAAGCTGGGACAATACAACTCAAAAAATTGTATGACAAGTGAAGTTCATTAAGTGATCGTAGCAATCCAATTTCTTTAGGTATGGAACCAGAGAGGGAGTTTACATGGAGGGCAAGAATTGATAAGTTGCTCAAGTTCCCAATAGAGGTAGGGATTGTACCAATTAAAGCATTATGTGACAAGTCAAGATCAATGAGAGATTGCAATGATCCGATTTCTAGAGGAATGAAACCAGAGAGTTTGTTACCCCAAAGAAAGAGGATGGACAGACTTCTCAGATTTCCAAAAGAGGCAGGAATCGAACCGATGAGATTATTTATACACAGGTATAGAAAGTTGAGACTTTTCAAGAAGCCTATCTCGGATGGAATACTTCCTATGAGATCGTTATCAGACAAGTCCAAGTAGACAATCTTGGATAGTTTACTAATTTGTGATGGAATGGTTCCATAAAGTGAGTTGTTCAAGAAACGGAGAGCAGAAAGTTTAGGGAAGGATGAGAAGTTGAAATCATTAAGCGTACCTTTCAAACCAAAATCTTCAAGAGTCAAATTGGTGACGTTTCCAGAGTTGTCACAAGTGATTCCAATCCAACCAAGGCAAGGGTTGCTGCCGACCCAAGAATAAAGGAGAGATTGGCTTTGGTTGTCAAGACTCGCTTTCCATTTGAGAAGAGCTTCAACTTCTTCACCTTGAGTAACTTCGGATTTGGCAGCAGCATTACTACTACTACTACCAAATATGGAAGTTGAGGAGGAAGGATGATCTGCAAAAGCAGAGCAAGAAGAAAAGTAAAATATAAAGAGGAGCAAAAATTGGACGTGGGGAAACATTGAGATCAATGGTTTGTGTAGGAAGGACGTCATGAGATCTTTTTAAGAGATACCTATGGCTTGCTTTGGTTAATGAAGATCCTAGGCTCCAAGGA